GGAAAGAGCTTTCCCTTTTTCAAGAACGGTCAGGACCAGGTTACATGGGTCCCCAAGTGGATGTGAGGACAGAGGGAGATGAGAGCCATGTCAGCCTGTAAACTGGGAAGTGCTACGTCTGCATGAGGTCAGTTTTTATAAACTGTAGAGTGCTGTACCCATGTGAAGCCAGGCTTTATAAGCCGAAGTGCTGGGCCCACCTTGCTCTCAGCCCTGGCCTGAGGAGTAAGGACCGGAGCTTCACTTTCTGAGTGAAGCGACCAGGTTGGAGGTCAGGAGGGCTGCCTGCCCTGACAGTGTCTGTCCTGCCCTCTCTCTTTGTCCAGGAGTCCTTGTACTCATTTGCACTCAAATGCCTCATCAGCCTCTCCACCGTCATCCTGCTGGGCCTGGTCGTCCTCTACCATGCCCGGGAGATCCAGGTCAGTGCCCAGTGGGGTTGGGGCAGCTCCCCTCCCCCAGCCACCTGGGACCCCAGCCCACCTGGGACCTCAGCCCTCTAAGACATAAAAGTATCAGTAGCCTCTTTATAGTAAAAAAAAAAAAAAAAAAGACTTCTGTGGAGACACACTGTTTTAATTTTCATTGATTCTTTGGTAAAGAACACCAACAGTGGGGGAGCAGGAGGTGGGCTGGGGTTCTGGGGCACGTGGATTGTTTTCACAGCCCTGGGTCTTCTGAGGTTTTGCAGCCATGGGGTCCAGTGTTTGTGGCACCAGGCTCCTTTTCCTAGTCCATCGGACCCTGTTTTTGAAAGATTTATCTTGTGCCAGAGAGTCTATTCTCCTATTTCAGGGGTTGATCAAAACCTGGTCAGGCTCCTGGAGAGCCCAGTTCAGGGCTTGTCAGGCAGGCGTTACCACAGCAGGCTGGCACCAAGGCCTGGGAACACCAAAAGGTGTCAGATGTGGCTCTTGAGTCTGGCCTTTGACCCCTGACCTCAAGGAGCCACAGTATGGCAGGAGATGGGTGTAGGAAAATCCTGCCTGCGTTGCACTGTATGCAGACCTGTCAGGGGGCACCCAGGGTCTGGCACGCGGGTCTGGCCCCCTGATCTGGCTGGGGGTTGGGGGGAGGGGGACAGTGACCCCTGAACTAAAGGAAGCAGTTGTGAAGATACAACTATGGACAACAGTCTGGCAGTTCCTTAAACAGATAAACATGGAGTTACCATATGACCCAGCAATTCCCCTCCTAGTTACACACCCAAGAGACACAACAACCTACATCCACACAAAAACTTGTACACGTATGTTCGTAGCAGCATTATTCACAATCGCCAAAAAGTGGAAACAACCCAGATGTCCACTGACTGATGTATGGATAAACAGAATGTGGTCCATCCGTACGATGGAATGCTATTCAGCCAAATGAAAAAATAAGGAAGCACTGTGTGTTTGTAGCACCACAACTGAGTGGCTTAAACAACAGAAATGTATTCTCTCACAGTTCTGGAGGCTGCAAGTCCAAGATCAGGTGCTGGCAGGGTTGGTTTCTCCTGAGGCTCTCTCCTTGGCTTGCAGACGGCCACCTTCTCATTGTGTCCTCACATGGCCTTTGCTCTGTGCTCACACATCCCTGGTATCTCCTCCTCTTCTTATAAAATGACACCAGTCCTGTCGGATTGGGACCCCACTCCTATGACCTCATTTAATCTTAATTATGTCTTTAAAGGCCCTATTTCCAAATACAGTCATACTGGGGGCTAGGGCTTCAACGGATGAATTTTGAGGGGACAAAGTTCAGTCCATAACACTCCACCCTCTGGCCCGCCTTGCAAATCTTTGTCCTTCCCCCATGCAAAATGCACTCATCCCGTCTCAACAGCCCCCAAAGTCTTAACTCGTTTCAGCGTCAACTCTAAGTCCAAAGTCTCATTTAAATATCATCTAAATCAGACATGGGTGAGATTCGAGGTACTGTTCCTCCTGAGACAAAATTTTCCTCCAACTGTGACTAGACAAGTTGTGTGCTTCCAAAATACAATGGTGGAATAAGCATAGGATAGACATTCCAGTTCCACAAGGGAGAAATATGAAAGAAGAGAGGGGTGGCAGGTCCTACACTTCTCTCAGACCTAGCCAGGCAAATTCCGTTAGATTTGAAGGCTGGAGAATGATCTTCCTTGGCTCAGCGTCCCACCTTCGAGGCCCACTGTGGTGGCAGCATTGCCTCGTTGGCCCTGAGTGGTGGCCTTTTGTGACTGCCTTCTTTCACTCAGCTTAATGTTTTCAAGGTTCATCCACATTGTAGCATGTGTCAGTGCTTCATTCCTCTTTATGGCTGAGTAATGTTGCATTGTGTGCAAGGACCACATTTTGTTTATCCATTCATCCATTGATGGACACTTGGGTTGTTTCCACTTTGGGTGCCTGTGAACAGTGCTGCTGTGATTGCGTGCACACAATGAACGACTATTTTCATCTCTTGCCTATATGAGATGGCTGGGTCATTGGTAACTCTGTGTTTGACTTTTGGGGAAACATCTGTGCCACGTTTAGCTTGAATTGTGGCCGACCCTGAGAACTAGGGAGTTTTGCCTTTGAGGCCATGTTTCTTGTAAAAGCCGACGGGGTTTTCGGCTGGGATCTTGCTCCGGGGCCTGGTCTCGTGTCCGAGGCCCACCTCATCCCGCCCGCCTGACCTCCGCAGCTGTTCATGGTGGACAACGGGGCAGACGACTGGCGCATCGCCATGACGTGCGAGCGCGTCTTCCTCATCTCCCTGGAGCTGGCCGTGTGCGCCATCCACCCGGTGCCCGGCCACTACCGCTTCACGTGGACGGCGCGGCTAGCCTTCACGTACGCGCCGGCAGCGGCCGAGGCCGACGTGGACGTGCTGCTATCTGTGCCCATGTTCCTGCGTCTCTACCTGCTGGGCCGTGTCATGCTGCTGCACAGCAGGATCTTCACGGACGCCTCCAGCCGCAGCATCGGCGCCCTCAACAAGATCACCTTCAACACGCGCTTCGTCATGAAGACACTCATGACCATCTGCCCGGGCACCGTGCTCCTTGTCTTCAGCATCTCCTCCTGGATCATCGCCGCCTGGACCGTGCGGGTCTGTGAGAGGTGCGCCCCTGACCCCTGATCCCAGTGATCCCAGATGCCCACCCATGACTTTAGTGACCCCAGGGCTCTCCCAGCCATCACTCCGTCCCCATGACTTCTGACCCTGGTGAACCCCATACCTACCCACGACTTCAGACATCCAAGGCCTCCCCCCAGCCATCACTCCATCCCCATAATTCTGACCCTGGTGACCGCCCCGCCCCCCCATACCCAGTCCCTGGCCTCAGTGACAGTCCCTCAAGTGCAGCTCCCTCATCCCCGGGACTCCAGCCCTGTGCCCCCGCTCCCCCCCAGCCCCTACCCTGCACCCCTCTAGGACCCCACCCCTCTTCCTCCTCCCCCTCCCCCCGGGGCCCCTCCACTGGCCCAACCTCTGGCCCAGGGTGGCGGAGGCAGCAGGAGCAGGGACCCCCATCCACCCATTCCCCCCGCAATTCAACCTGCTCTCCCCCCCTCTGCCCGCCCCACCGGACTGTAGGGACAACATGTGAGTCCTACCCCCAGCACACCC